TTTATATATATATAAAATATAAGGTAAATATATTTGCTGAAATGTGTCTAGACCCTTACATTCCTTTTCACTACTGATTCCTATAAATATTGGTATTCTAAATCAACACTTCTCATCTGTGCAGACCACAAAATGACTTAATGCTGCTTAATACTTTGTCTGGACAATTCAGTATTGTTTCTAATCTGAAACATAATTGATTAAGTTGGGAGGGGAAAAAAATTAACCCTCCTAAACTTCCTGAGTTCCTTTGGAAAAGTTGCTTTTAATATCAGCCAGAGAATCATTTTCCAATAAACAGAACAGAAGGCATTCTATGTTTCCTTAGTGGTGGGAAAAAATACCTAGTGTCTCTTCATAGTAAAATTATTATGATTGGTATGTATAGTAGCTCATAGGCGCACATTTCACTGAATCAGCAGAGACTGCAATAGAAGTACTGTTTGCTGAGAATGCACAGCAAGATTTGAAATTGTAAGCAAAAGCTATTTTGTAGCTCTACTATGTCCAAATGTCATCCTGTAGAAACTGCTGACTTTTGTCAGTCTAGGCTTTAGAACAAATTAGCTGCTTCTGTTACTGCCTGATAACTATCAAGTGACCTTTCATTACATTTGTTCTTCCCTCAGGCAACTATTCCTCTCCCAAGTGAGTCACAGTCACCATTGCCTACTTCAAGCACCTCTATGTCACCAGTACCACCAGCGCAAAGCTTTCAGTCTCCTCCAGCAAGTAGCAGTTCTGTCACAATAACAGCAGCTCCCTTTCAGGCTATGCAGACAGTAAGTATGCAACTTGAGGCCACAGAAGAATTGCAATAATGCTAGTAACTTAGTCCTAATACTGGGGAACTGGCTCCCCTGGATGTAGTACAGAACTTGATAAATCATTTAGATGTTTTAATCTTAAAAACATAGACTAGAACTCTCCTCCAATGCTGTCAGAACTTAAAACAGTTCATCTAAGAACATAGATCCTGGTTTTGCTCTGTATAGTCCTAAAATGTAATACTGGGATGTCTTAATAGCCTCAAGGAACTAAGAGAATTCAGACCTGAAATCAACAGATTTACAGCTGTGCCCCAAGGTAAATTGGCTGTAATTAAACTATTATTATGCATGGATTTCAAATAAAGACTGCGGAGGAGAGAGGGAATCCTGAAGTATATAGCTGTTAGGACTAAGCTTTCTGAAGCTGGAACCTGTCTTGCTGCTTTTTAAACTGCTTGCTTTAGTGGGGTAAAACTCAGTCTACTGGAATCATGGAAGAGTTGTCATTGATAGGATAATGAGCTACACCATTCTTTATCTTGCTAACAAGTAGTCCATGTAGAGGTCTAGGGAATAGTCCACACAGACTATAAGTGGTGTTTCTTGCAAACAGATACTACTTTTTCAGGCCATACATCATTACTAACGTTCTCTAGCGTTACTAAGATTGCTATTGTCTAGTAATCTGCAGTGCAAGCTTAGAGGCACTTGGAGGAAGGGTCTCCATTTAGTTGTTAATGTTCCCTTCCCTGTACTTGGACCTACCTACTCCTGATACCTTCTTCAGAAGATGCTAGAAACCTTCATTTAAAGATCATTGAGATTCTCCAAAAGCGTTCTCCATTTGAACAGATGTACCAGTGCAGTTCCACAACTTGCTGGACAATCTGCATCTTTCAGTATTGAGTCATATGTACTAGGATTTGGTGGAAGAAAGTAGCTCAGCCTCTCAAAGCACAGGAATTTACCACTAAAACATCTATGACATCCTGGTGTGGTCTGCAATAAATCACTATGATGACTTTCTCCTTTGGTTTTCTGTAATTGTAGACAAGGTTCAAGTACAACCTTCCTCAGAGGTATAGAATTTTGATATACATTATAAATAAGGCAAGTGGTGGTAGGGAGGTGGTTCTTTCTAAGCTTCATCTATTTGAATTATGCTAAGTGGCTAGGTGGTGACTTTTATGAAAGTGGAAAAATAGCAGCATGCTATGATCAAGGATTCCAGAGTATTTTTGGGAACCTGGTCTATAAGATAAACATCTGTCATGATATAGAGTCTTAGTCTCAGTCATCCTAATTGTATCTGAACCTAGTGTCTGTTTTCAGAGTGCTTTTGATCAAAATGCTACCAATGAAAGTTCACTTGAATTAATGCTGTGGTGTTTTCAGATTTTAAATGTTCAAAATTTCTCTCTTGGGATTTCTGGGCCAAACTGGCAAACATCTGTCACTAAATTGCTAGGATGCTAATTCTTCTTGTAGCAATGGCAGTCTTTAACTTCATGGTGCAGGGTTTTTTTCCCTACCTTGCTTAGATTTTTCATTGCTGCCAGAAAAACACAGCCATTGGATTTCAGTAGATACCCAGGAGTCAGATGGTTCCTTGCCAGACCGTGGTAATACAGTGGCAGTAAAGGAAGCATCTGATTACATGTCCTCAGAGATATCCGAAGACCCTATTGCTGCTGTTGTGCTTATGGAAGCTTAAAGGCAGATCCTACCTGTAGCTCAAGTTCTCTTATTAGAATGCCACCTGTAACCCTCACTGTAAGAAAAAGTAGACCGCTTGCTACAAATACTCCAGGGTATAGGTATTGACAGCCTGACTGCACAGCATTCTCAAATTTCTTTTAGAAGGAGGATTGCTTTGGATCACTTTACCTGGTAAAGTAAAAAAAAAGTGTTATTTTATAATGGTTCAAGATTTATACTCAACACTTCAGTATCATGAGGGCTTTCTGTGCTGGCTCCCTCTTAGAGGCAGTACTTGGTTTCTCAACCCTGGAAAAAGTATTCATTTCCCACTTTAATTATAGAGGCTTTTGCAAATGACAAGAACTGTCATGCTGTGAAGCCATTCCTTGCATCTAGCTGTAGTTAGTCTTGCCCTGGTTTGCCTTCAGACAGTTAATAGTCTTGGAAAATGGTTAGATGCACTTCTAGACTCAGTATCAGTGCTGCTGATGGCTCTTTATATGAAATTTAGATCCTTTTACTCAAAATAGACTTCTGTCCTGTTTGATCTTGATACTAGTTGTCACTTGACAGCATCAGTTCTGGTAATTTTGGGTTATTGGTTATAAAGCAATACAGACATTAGAGTGACTGAACTGGTTGATTAGATTTCATCAACTGTAATATGCATACACGACCCTACTGCCCAGGCTGTCACATTAAAATTTGAATTACAAGACTCTGTTACTCAAGTTACATATTTATTCTGAAGGAACTTAAAACAAGAATAGGAAAGTTGAGGCTCAATTTATCAAAGGGGTGAAGGCTGTCTAATACAGAATGTATCTGAGTGGATAATAATGTTGCACCAGATTCCAAGATGTGTATAAAGACCCAAATTCTTCCCATACATGACTATTTCATCTCTGTATAGGCTGTCACAGCTTCAGGTCAAAAGCTTTAGGACAGGTAGTAAAGTCAATCCAACAGCTGACTTCCCATAGAAGCAAAATAGCTTACTGTATGGTAGCTGTTCTTGTAATCAAACATGGTAGCTATGGTCAGTCAAGCTACATAATTAGGAGTAGGTTCTAGAAGCTTACTGAGGTGGGAAAAGATGGGTTGAAATACAATGTCCTTGATTCTAAGAAACAGTTGGTGTTCTAGGAACTGATCTACATGTATGGATTTAAACCACAGCATAGCAGGGTAGTGGCATTAGGCAGAGACTTTAGCTGGTAGTGTTAAGTGTTTGTCTTAATATGTTGTAGGTATTTAAAGTGAATGCACCACTGCCTCCACGTAAAGACCAGGAAATTAAAGAGGATTCTTCATATCCGGCAGGCTATAACCAGAGTTTCTCTACAGCAAGTACACAGACTCCCCCTCAAAGCCAGCTGCAATCTTCTCATGTTGCAGAACAAACCTCTCTTTCACAAGAATCTCTATCTTCAGGTGAGAACTTGTACTTGTCTCAGTTTCAAGTAGTCTTTAAAGTTCTTCAGGTTGTAGTAGTATTTTATTTCATTAATGTGTGCTGTGACTATATTCAGGTTCTTCTAACTCAGTGAATTCTTAACCACTGTTGCATATTAAGGTTACATGAGCTCTAATCTAGTTGATGGTATGGTATGTAAAATTAATTTCAAAACTGCTAGCAGGATGAAAGGCTGCTTAAACTAGTTTCTATGCCAGTTGCACAGACAGTGTCACCTATGTGCTGGAAGTACAAGTATACAGTGCTGCTTGGAATTGAAGCAGTGATGAAATATCCTTATTTGGAACCATTAATTTAGTTTCTGGTAATAAACACTAGTGTTGGCTGTAGTGCTGGGAGTTGCTGAATGCTTAATAAGAAAGGTGGGATGAGCTTTTACTGCTGAGGTGGATTACCCGAAGTGATAAGTATTTTGTGCTACTGGCACAAGACTAAATGTCATTTGAGAACTATTTAGGATTTAGAATTTTCTTGTTTTAAGAATGGGCTGGTGTCTTGTCTTTGAACTTTTAGCTCACAATATAATTAATGTAAAATACATGGCTGATCTTGACTGTACTAGTGCTTACCAAAATCTTCAGGTGTATATTACAGCTTGTTGTAGAGGTAAGCATTCTAGATGTTACTGACAGGTCATGTCTGCCACCCCTACTTATCACTCCAGCTGTATCTTGATGTTGAAATCCTAGCTTTCTATAGCGGAGATCCATGTTGTTCCTAACTAGGCTCTAAATTTAGTGTTTGTACCTAGGAAGGCTAGTTTCCTAACTAGGAGGCCTCAGTTACAAGTATTGTAATTTAGTGGTGTATTCAGAATCAGCTGAGCTGCAGGAACTGTTCATGCATATGCTTCTAGCCTGAAACAGGTGCAAGCTGATGATAGCCTACTCTGCAGCAGAAGATAATCCACTTTTTACTTCTGTTTATGTAGCTCGACTCCTTATGAAGGCTGACTTTATTAGCTGGTTAAGTCTGTCTGACCTGAAGAATTCTAAACTTCTGATTAAGTGGGATCTTGAGCTGCCTTATTCAACACAAAACTTACCTGCTTGACATTAAGATGCTGTACCAGGTGAATTTATATAGCTGACACTAAGAATTGGAAATGAAACTAGCCCCTAAATTTGCCTGAAATTAATTCTAGAATGAAAGGAAGCTGACAGTTAGGAATCTGGATTTATAAGACTATACCTAATCAAGTGACTCAAGGTCACTTAAAATTACTGTTTCTGCCAGAGAGGTCTCCTCTTAGGAATTATACTAGAGATAGACTGATACTGTGAAGTCAGTGAGACACATGAAGATTGTGAGCTCCAAAGAACAATAGAAGTATAGCAGTCAGGACAGTGTATATGTAGCTTGAATGTTGCTTCTCATCACTGAGACTGTAGGTGATCAGCCTTATGTACAGTTTTTTTGATGGAATGTCATGGTTTTTTACTAATCTTGTGCAGTGGCTCTGCACAGACTTCAAAAAGGGGTTTAGATTGTCACTCTGGATCAGTTTTAAGCTTTTTGTATTGAGGTAAAGCATGGTCCTGCAGAAACATTCATGGTTGCAAGGTCTGTATTTAAAACCAACTCAACGACCCTGTGAGTGAAAAGCATTGTTGAATACTGCTAAACCTGTTGCTTGGGGTTGAACAGCATAATAACATGTGGTAAGAATGTCTGTTGAAGAGACTGAACCCAAATATCTAGCTTTTCACAGGTGTCTTATTGCTATCTAGATAAGCCTTGAGTTTCTCATAATTTGAAGGATGTGACCTAGTTCATCAGATAGACCACTGAGGTCTTGCTAGTAGAACAGTGTTGGTTCTAAGTGAAAATTCTTAATTGGGTGTTAGATTTTATTCTAGCTTTGTTATTTTCTTGATGCTGCTAGCAAGCTTGTTCTGAGCTATGCAAACTGAATATTGTTGAATGCATTAGAGGCCTACACTGATAGCCTGGGCTCTCTACAGTATATTTTAACAAGCATTACACTCTGCAGAACAAAGGGGAAGATCCCTACTTATTTACATTAATGAAGGGGAGGAAGAACAGAATATTCAGAGCAGCTTAATCGGTCTTTGAACTTCCTAATGCTGCCCTTGCTTCTAGGTGTGGTAACTTATTACAGTTAAAAGCTTTGAATTCATCTGTGCCTTCTGTTTTAAGCAGTGAATTATCAACCTGATGGAGCCGTTCCTGTTAGCAATGGTAGCCTTGCCTTTTATCCAGCACAGACCAATGTTATTCCCAGGCCCCCTCAGCCTTACCTTAACAGTCGTGGGTCTGTCAGAGGATCTGCTAGAGGTGGAAGGTCACTGGCTAATTCATATCGTTCCCCTGGTGCATACAAAGGTATGACTGTATTTACTACCACCTTAAAAATCAAAAAATCTAATGTAGTTAACACTAGAAGATTAAGACAATGTGGTATTAAATTTAGGTTCTATATGTGAAACTTCTTAAAACAAGACTGAGTAATGTGCAGAGAATGGGGTCTTCCTTTGTAGAATTTAAGCAAGTTCATTCTGACTCTTATCTGTAGCCCTTGTATGTGGGTGTCAGGTGAACTGGCAGAGCAATTTCATAGCCTTTTGAATGATGAAAACAAACTTTGACTAATAAGTTATAAAATTACTTAATTGTATAGACTTTTCTACTTGCTATTTTATTTATCCTTCTGAACCTTTTACCCCCTTTATTCTTTCTCTTGGCATCCATCTTGCTAACACTCTGGGCAGCTATTTTCTATTCAGATGTCACTTGCCATATTTGCCCAAAACAAGATACTCTTTGCTTAACACTGCTGGCTTCAATGTTCCCAGCAGAAACTGGCATGGGGAGAGAGGTTGCCAGTAGTGGAGAGCCCTTCTGGATTAATAACAAACTGAAGAGTTTTAAGAGAATGATTGATTGGTTTCTGTAGATCAGTTGCTATTCTGCTGCTGGCTGAAGTACTATGGAAAGTTTCAGATGATTCTCATCAGTTACCAGCCTAAGGTTGTTGATAGTTGTGGCCTATTTGACTTTGAAGTAGAAGGGCACTTAGTCTGTGATAGAAGTTGTTTCGATTACTGGGCTGAGACTGCTCAATAACTTGTAGGAACATGTGCCAGAAAATGAGTTACGTAGTTCTAACTTTGCAGCAGTTAAGTGTTGGTAGCTATTTAACACCTTTAGCTATTACACTATTACAGTACTTAAAGGTATAACAGTCATAGCTAAGCGTCTGTAATAGCAAAAGAAAGCATTTCTTAATTCTGCTAAATTCTATTTCTGCATCTAGCAAGTTTTTTGGCTGTTCTGTAAAGTCCCATTAGTATCAAACAGGCAATTGTTTCAAACAGGTCTGATGTTAATATTTATAAACATGTAATTTTGATACATATATTGTGTAGTTAGTGTAGCTAATGAAATGTCTGACATAAGGAATAGGCCTGTAATTCATAATACAATACACATGATTGCCAAAAGGGAGTGCTAGTTGTATTCTGGACTTGTACTTGTAAGCCAAACCATGAATAATAAGATTGATTATTCAATATTTAAACAGGTTTTGATGCTTACAGAGGCTCACCTTCAATAACTAATGGCAACTATGGCCAGCTGCAGTTCCCTGGTAGAGATTATGCTGGAATGCCATATTCTCAGAGGGTAAGCATTGACTTTGTTTCCAGTAGCCTTCTTTTGAGCACTGTATGGGAGAAGTCTTCTAATGCTGTAGCTTTTCATTATCCTAACAGGTGCACTATTCTTTACAAGCTAGAACTTAGTTTTGTTTCCTAGATTAAACCCTTTTTTGGAACAGTAGACAGCAGTTGAAATAGGAAGTCAGTTCAGACAGATAACCTCTCTGTATGACAGGTTGATTTTAGTCTGAAAGGAATCTCTAAAATGCAAACAGATGGCAAATAAGATATAGCATAATGAGTTCCATTTTTACTATGGATTTTAAAGTTAGTCCTCAATGCCCCTGTAGTATAAAGTAATGAACTCTTAAATGGGTTACTGGGAATGTGGTTAGGCAAAAAAACCTGCAAAAACAATATGTAAGAATCCCAAGGTTCCTGGTGAGAGGAAGGTCTTCAGCTTTGAAATAAAATACATTCTTATGTACAGATTCAGACTTGTAACAGACCTGAGATTTAAGGTAATACTTGAACTTAACTGAATGTATAGTTCAGAAGTGAACTTGCTAGAACTGGCATTGAAATTGCTTTTACAATAGCTTGTATGAAACTTGAGCTAATTTTCCCTAAAGAAGGCTGTTTATCTAGATGTTAATTCTGAACTCCATTGTCTATTCTAAAGCTTGAATTAATTGTGCGAATGAAAAAATACTATATATTGGTAGTCCCATTTGTTCTCAGATTTGCTTATAGCAATCTTACTAATACTTAGGTTCTTTTTAGGATGTTAACTACCAGCAGTGCTATAAACGAGGTGGGATAACTAGTGGTCCTCGAGCAAATTCAAGAGGTAAGGCTAACATCAGGTTCCCAGTGGTACATGTATGTACTTCAGCATAGCAGATGCTGAAGTGGAGTGTTACTGTGAACAGTGAGGAAAAATAGTGTACTATCATGGATCAAACAGATCAAGCTTAATATAAATTAACCAAGGTAGATGAAAGGTTAAGTACTGTTCTTAAACAGTCGGCATTGCATAGCAGCAGATTTAATGTTGCCTCTCAATTCTGTGTCTTTACATGTCAAAGTTCTAACACAATGGCACCTTACTGAACTTTCTTCACAAGTGAACTGACTAGGGAAACACAGGGTGGTTCTGATGTTGCACTTAGGTTGTTCTCTTAATTGCATGGTCTCTGATCCTGGATAAGCTATCGGATCCCAGAAACTTTGTAAAATAACCTTTTCTATGAAAAGTTTTGGGAATACAACTTTAATTTGTATTTCCATGCTGGAGTACAGAACCTAAGGAAATACACAAGACTAGCTTTTTCAATCCCAGTATGAACAGTATGCATTTTGAAGAGTTGTAAACAAGATGATTTAATCCTTTTCTATGTGCTGGAAAAGCTGGACTTACAGTGCTATAGGTGAAAAGTGAGATGAATAGTAACTATAGATCACTACTTCGAAGAGCAAAGGGAAATTTATGACACATCATGGAAACTTTTATGAGAAAGCAAGTCATCCCAGTCTGAGATGGGAGGACTCATAGAACATACTTCAGGACAGTATTAAAAGAAATGAGATTGTGGTGAGGTAGCAGTTGACAAAAATACTTATTAGCATTAAGTTGTAGCAACTTTCCTTAGTTTTATGGATATCTTAAGGTGTTCCTTTCCAGTGGAAATAATGATAGCTTGCAACTTGAGCATGACTGCTTTAAATTTCTCAGCTCTATTAATGTTCTAGAACCTTTTAATTTGTATATTTGAAAAGAAACCACTTCACTTGGGAGTAGGGTGCAGAACGCTTAAGCCATTCTAATTGTTCAGACTTAGAATATTCTAGCATCATAAGTTGATGTGACCTATGAAGGCTGCAACTCCAGAAGAACAGTATTGAGGTAGCTTGAAGTGGAATTTCAGGCCTTGAAGGTGACTAAATGACTACTTGGCTTTCAATAATATTGGCATTTTTTTAGAAATTACATTTTATCTCAACTAGCAAGTTAGCACATGCTTTCATGGTAATATGTCTGTGGCAAATACTAAAGCTAAAACTATTGTAGGCTGCCCGATTCTAAAAAGTGAGAAGTCATTGTTCATAGTTAAATTATGATCAGTCTTGCTGAATGCTGCAAGTGTGGTGAATATAAGCCAGCTTCAAAGTTCTGTTCTCACTGGGGACCTTTGACAACTTCTGTAGCTGAGAAACAAATCTGTTGCAAAGCCTGTACACTTGCTACTTAAGGTTATACCCACAGGTTTAAGGGTATCCTTCTGTTACGATACTTACTTATCATTGCTAATGATCTTTAACAGCAGGGTGGAGTGATTCCTCTCAGGTGAGCAGTCCAGAACGAGACAACGAAACCTTTAACAGTGGGGACTCTGGGCAGGGAGACTCCCGCAGCATCACCCCTGTTGATATGCCAGTGACAAGCCAGGCTGCCACCATACTACCAGTGCACGTCTACCCCCTCCCACAGCAGATGAGAGTTGCCTTCTCTGCTGCTAGAACATCTAACTTGGCCCCTGGAACTCTAGACCAGCCAATTGTGTTTGATCTGTTGCTGAACAACCTTGGAGAAACTTTTGATATCCAGCTTGGTAGATTCAATTGTCCAGTGAATGGCACATATGTCTTCATCTTCCACATGCTGAAACTGGCTGTAAATGTTCCCCTGTATGTGAATCTCATGAAGAATGAAGAGGTCCTAGTGTCAGCATATGCAAATGATGGGGCTCCTGATCATGAAACAGCTAGTAACCATGCAGTCCTGCAGCTGTTCCAGGGAGATCAGATCTGGTTGCGTCTGCATCGGGGAGCCATCTATGGAAGTAGCTGGAAATACTCCACCTTTTCGGGATACCTCCTTTATCAGGACTAAAATCCAGTGCGATGTTTACAAAAGAGCTGCTCCGAACACCTTGGTGGAGGGGGGTGGGACTAGCTTTGCACTTACTACTGACTTTGTAGAAGATTATGTGGTTCCATTATTGGGGGAAATGATGGTCCTGTTGTGCAAGGTGAAATCATGGAGTTGGGGTACTGAATCAGCACTAATTTGGCACTTTATCAGTTGTGATGTAGCCTTGCTAGTAAAGCTGTGAATGTATATTGTTTGCACTTACCCTAAACTGTATTAATGTCCAGCTTACTACACTATTGATTGCCTCAAGTATGGGCTATTGACAATGCCTTGTTGTGCCTCAATAAAACAAGTTAATATGCATTTTAGTATTAATCTTGCTGGTGGTCTTTATTTTTAAAATATGTCAAACTGACCTTATTCCTGATGTGGCATGTACATGCATGCTATTACACAGAACTGGACTTCAAGTTTCAATAATTTGGGGTAAACTGTACAGTTTAAATGGGATTACTTGTTTATTTAGTTCTTGCTTGATGTCATTCTCGAGTGTTCCCTTAATCAAAATGAATTCAAGATTTAGTTACGTACCTGCTTCCTTTTTAACTGATAGGTCAAGAACTGAGAAGTGAAATGCTACATACTTCATTAGAACTGTTTATTTTAAATGCATATCCTATCAAAATCTAGCTTTGTCACATCACCTGTCCTTCAGTAGTGATGTCGTCGAAATTTTTGAACTTCAAAACAGTCACTGAAGGACTGGCTCACACTTTGTTAATCAGCTGCAAAATATTTTGAAGTTAAAATTGACCTTTGTGAAGCACAAACATGTACAGCTTCACTGCCCCATGAGACTTGAATCAGCTTGTAATGCAAGTTATCTCCTCTTTTCAGAGAACTGCTGAGGAACTTGGTATTTGTAGTTGAAGCCTGCTGCTTCCATTTTTAAATCAAACCTGAATCCATATGCTTGGAAGCATTTATAAAGCTCTTTTCTTACAGCTAAAGGGCTGTGTGACTAGTCTTCAGCAATCTCTTGTGGCTGGAGAACTGAAGAGCCATGATGTATGTCCTTGTCTAAGCTGCAGCATGTCAAATACTGTAAAGCATTTCAGTGTTTACAATGAGTTATGAACTAGTAAGAGGACTGTAGGTCACTGTCTCTCTACTTTTAAAAGCTTCAGTAGTTTGTTTTGGCAGGTATGAAGTATTTTGTCTTCAACGTAGCTAGTGCAAAAGCCTGACTGATGTATCTAGGGGTGAACTAGAACTATGCAAAGTGAAAGCAGTTCAGCTATCTACTTATTTAAATGAAAGTAAAAACCTAGATGGAATGTACTTCAGACCTGATAGAAAGCTGCTGTTTCTTGGTAACTGGTTTCACAAATTCCAACTTTAAACAGTTCTCCCCTGCTACCATGCAGATGCTGAAGTAAGTTGTCCGGCATGACTTTACTGCTGTAAAGATCTTGGTTTTGTTCCAAGCTTAGATTTCTTTTTTCATATAGATTTTCAGAGTGTGATCATACTTCAAATCTTGGTTTAATTCCTTCTGGCAAGTTTTGTGATGAAACATTTAGGTAGGATAAAGCTTTAGGGAACCTAGTTTTTGCTACTACAGATGAAAATGTCAAGCCTTAACCATTGAATACTAAGCTGTATTTTGTATTTTTAAACATGCTAAGCCTCTTTATTGGCTGAAGTCAGAATTATTTCTAGAACACTCAATAGAGTGTAAGTGGCAGGAGTTTAACACTTTTTTCCTAGACTGTTTAACTCTCCTTGTATGTTACTATAGGAATATGGTAGATAAGCCCAAGTGCTAGGATAACTTTTAGCTTGTAATAGCTATGTAGAATAGCTATGTAGCTGTGGACAGGCAGACTTCATTGCTTTTTCTAACAGACCTACAGCTCTGGATTTTTTTTAAGACATGGCTAAAAAAGGCTGTCTACCTAAGGACTAGTAAATAAGTGAGCCCTGTCGTGCATATAGCAGGGTATCCCTGGCACTTCAGGCTGCCTTAACACAGATGTTTTCATTTAGTGTGCAGCTTATCCTATTTGGTTTTATTATATGTACTTGTATGATGGATTTCATATGTTTAAAGAACAAGTTACCAGTACTTCTAAGCTTTGCTAATAAGTTCAGCCTTTGGCAATCCCAAACATGTGATTACTGTGAATATGTGAAGTAAATGTTGCTTTCTAATGCTGCAGTTCAATCAAGTCTGGGCAACTAGTTGGTGGACCTGTTTGTTTAAGGCTTATCTTGCTTCTTACTGGCAGATCTAGCAAAGCTGTTAGGTATCTCTACCTTGTGTATATTTAAGCTGCCTAAGATAAGCATCTCAATTTCAGAACTGGGTTTCTGTATGCATAAGATGGATTTTTAAATTCCTAACTAAAGGAGTACACACTGTCACAGCAAGAAGTGTGAAGATATGATGAAATATGAATTCTAATCATTATACCATTCCTTGATAGTAAACTTGACTGTAAATCATATGAAGCCTTTTAAAAAGCCATCCATTATACTTTTGTAAACTTTATCAGCCTGAATTGGAATCATCTCTACAGTACCAGCTGCTTTAAAATAAAATGTCTGGCTTTCCCCTGATATGTGGTATTTTTGAAAAAAGCATACAACTTGGACAATTCTCTTCCATACAGTAACTGAACATGTGATCAGTTTTATCCTGTAGCATTGTCATGTGGTACCTCCTTAGCTAGAACTATTGGTTTCTATTGTGTGTCTAGTTGCAGCTGTGAACACAGCTCTAACCTCTGTTTGCAAAAAGGAATATAAGTATACTTGAACAGGTACTGTCAAAGTTTTCAGACTAGATGTGCCTCAGAAGGTTAGTACTGAACATTCACTATTAAGGCTACTTAAAAAAAAAAAAACCTGCAAAAGACCAAGCGAAACACCTGCTTTCCACACCACTAGCTGGCCAAAATCTGCTGGTAGGAAATTGCTATTCTAATCTTCAAAATATCTAGAAATATGACTTCATATGATTTCCCATAATGACAAACACTAGGATATTGATACCTCAATCCTCATTCTTTGTTTCTAGATTAATACTTGTTTTGAAAGCTGCTCAAAGTACTTCAGAGTATTTCAGTGCATTATTTACCAACTGGCACAGTTTTAGCCTACCTCAGTATGCCCAAACTGAAGGCCTAGATCTGTATGCGGCTTCTTGGGTGAAGCATTTAACAGGTGAATTTCACAACTTGAAAATACTTGAGGTATCACTGGTATTGACTTTATGTAAATACTGTCTGCCAATACTTTTTTGCTCTGTAGTTGTTACATGAAGTTGCTTGAACTGTTGCACTGTTGCCTTACAAATATATAAGGCTGATAATCAGCTCTAATTAAAACATACAAAGGGGCATCATAGTTCTGTTAACTTCCTATTGCTGTCTTTGCTATGCAAATCAGGTACCACCCTAATTCTCTGCAGCCTGATGAAGATAAACTATAAGGCTAAGGACTGAAGACAAGGTTTTCATTTGGAGTGAGAGAATTTCCATGTTTCCTTCTCTGAGTTTAGTGAAATACTGGAACAATACTGGAACTACCCTGAAACAGGAGGGTGCAGTGGTCTTGGCTGGGATAGTGTTAATTTTTGTCAGGGTAGCTGCTATGGTGCTATGTTTTGGATTTGTGACCAAAACACTGTTGACAAAACAGGGATGTTGTAGCTTATGACTGAGCAGTGCTTACACTGTGTTAAGGCTTTCTCTGTTCCTCACGCTGCTGTGCCAGTGAGGAGGCTGGGGATGCCCAGGAAGCCGGGAGGGGACACAGCCAGGACCGCTGACACATGGGATCAAAGGGATACCCCAGACCATACGGCGCTGTGCTCAGCAATACGAGCTGGGGGAAGGTGGAGGAAGGGGGGGGACGTTCGGGGTTATGGTGTCTATCTTCCCAAGTAACTGTTACATGTGATGGAGCCCAGCTTCCCTGAAAACAGCTGAACACCTGCCTGCCCATGGGGAGTGGTGAACGAATTCCTTGTTTTGCTTTGCTTCAGCACACAGCTTTTGCTTTACCTGTTAAGCTGTCCTTATCTCAACCCATGAGTTTTTTTCACTTTTGCTCTTAGGATCCTCTTCCCTGTCCCACCGGGAGGGAGGGAGCAAGCGGCTGTGTGGTACTGAGCTGCCTACTCATGGGGTTTGACCATGACAAAGGGTTTCTTCACGTTTTCAAAATACTAACGGACTTGTGACTTTTGTGTTTTTTCCAGGGTGTAGAAGTGAGAGGAGACCACGAATGATCTACCAGAATGGTCATGGCTAACTTCCTGCAGCTAAGGAAACCTCCATCCTACAGACTACGGTCGGGGTGCAGAGAATGCCACTGTTCTGCTGCACTGTTCTGTTTACTTACTTTTTCCTCCCTAACTGCTGTAAATTATCTACAGTTGCTGTGACAAAACAGTCAGTGGGAGACTGCTTCGGCATTTTAACTCTGATCAGTCTTGTATCTGGAAGCCTGGCATACGTTTAGCTGCTGCACATCATCTGTGCTAGCTCTTTATTAAATCTATACATGTCTTTTGAGAAAATGAAGTTTGGGAGTCTTGTGGAGGATAAGAAAAGTCTGTTGTGTCTTCTAATTGGAGAGGTACTGTACCATAACCAGATAAAAATGAATTAACTCTACTTACGCACTTGTTCGCGAGTCTCTGATCAACTTAACTTTGTGTCTTGTCTCCCAACTATAAACAATTCTATTAAGAATGAAAAGGCTTACAAATTTGCTATCTGCTGACTGAACATTTCTAGTGGTGCTATACTTAGAAAAAAATACTGTGAAGTACTAATTTGGCTGGTGAGTACTAGTTCATACAGCTTTTGGACTGTTTGGGTCTTAGATGGGTAAGGACTGTGGTTGACTGGGAATGAAGGCTTTAAGCTAAGTACAGATCCAATCGCTTTCTTGTTAGTTTAACTACAATGAAGCAAACCCTGTATTGAAAACAGCGTATTACTTTTAGCTTGTAGCACATCACACAATGGATTGTTGTCTTCTTTCTTATACTTTTCCATGAGTATCTCTTCTTTACAACTTAACAACCAGATGGCTTTTCAAGTGGTTGGCATGATAACAGCTGTTCTACGCCAGCAGAAAGTGTGTTACACATAGCATTCAGCTAAAATGCTACCTGCATTTCAAAACAACCAAAAGTCAAAGGACTAATTCTAAGTAACCTGCAATATGTAAGGCTTTTCTAGTTTTTCTCCACTTCCCAAAGTTCTTGAACTTAATCAAGGTATCTTGATAGCAACTCTGTCAGGAACTTGGTCTGCTTTTTGTTGAGGTCAAACTTACCTTGCTTTAGAAAT